ATATTTTATATATATATATATATATATATATATATATATTATGGTCCTAAACTGACCTCTACAACAGTTGGGTATTCGCTTATCATGATTGATGCTGGCCTCTTGTAATCCCCTTCAGGAGAAGGAAGACGCTGCCACAATTCTTCTGTAACGAATGGCATGAATGGATGGAGCAACCGCAACCCGTTATCAAGACACAACCACAGTGTGTCTCGTGCAAAACTCCTTTCAGATGCAAATCTCGGATCATTTCCAGCAAAATAGGGCTTAATCGCTTCAATAAATACATCACATAACTGGTATTGCCACCATGAATAAACTGCAGTGGCTGCATCTGAAAAGTTGTATGCTTCCAAAGATGAAACCGTCTTGGTGACGGCTTTAGCCAATACTGAAAGTATCCACTTGCAACTAAATGGCAGGACTTCTTGATTTACATTTAACAGTGGAATGTAATCGTCTCCAAGTTTGCTCATAGCAAACCGTATTGCATTCCACAATTTGTTTCCCCACTGTCGGTAACCGACAACTCTTTGGATATCCAGATTTATTTTATCAGACTGGAAAAAACAACATCAACAAATTAGCAAATCAATTTCAATAAAGAAATTAAACTGAAATACGTAAAGGTAGATGCTAAACCTGAGCTGTGTAGGAGATGAGAGCAAAACGAAGAGCATCTGCGCCACATTCAGCAATTCCATTAGGAAAGTCCTTCACCTGCCCTTCTTTGGCTTTCTCTAATTCGTTAGGGTCCAAATTACCCTCTTCCAGCCTTTTATGAAGACCTTCAAGGGTTATACCATTTATAACTTCAAGGGGATCAATCACATTTCCCAAAGACTTTGACATCTTTCGCCCATGTGCATCACGAATCATTGGATGCAGATATACCTACAGATAGATCATAGCCCAACTTGCATAAGTAACATAATAGATGAATCAGCATAAAACAAGGTAGTGAATTTAAAAGAATGAAACACGCATGTAGCACAGGATAAAACAGAAAAACACTTATTTTCACGATGATTTTTTTTTTCAATCATTAAAATGGGGCCCTTACACAAAGTTGATAGTTTATTGTATTACCAAAGAAATGATACTAGTGGAACATGTTTACCAGAGTCATATGTCTGTAGAAATAGACAAGTTGCATTTGGAATCGGCACGGTAAAGAAGATTAAATGCATGTAACCACCATTTATCTATCAAGCTTTAACAGAATCTTTTCAACGTGTAATAAAGAGTAGGCTGTCAGACCATGGCTTCATGTGTATAATAGCAAAAATGTTGACCCACCTTACTAAATGGTACATTACCACCCAGTTTCATTCCAAGCATCACCATACGAGCAACCCAGAAAAAGAGAATGTCATGACCAGTTTCAAGAACTGAAGTTGGATAAAATGCCTTCAGATCTTCTGTTTCATCTGGCCAACCCAGCACAGACAATGGGAAGAGACCAGAAGAAAACCAAGTGTCAAGCACATCTGGATCTTGACATAATTGGAACTTCTTCCCAGCATGAATCTGACTAGCCTGCACTTGAGCCTCTTCCTCATTTCTTGCAACCACCCAGTGGTCACGGTCATTATATGACCCAACTTCTTTCATATCATCATCCTCCAGAATAACATACCATGCAGGTATCCGGTGACCCCACCACAATTGCCTTGAGATGCACCAATCACGAATATTCTCGAGCCATCTGTGTTTTGTGAGACCAAAGCTTCATCAATCTTAGGATTACACTATGCAGGAAAAATATAAGCATAATCAGGTTTTGAGCAGAAACATAAAGTGGGAACAAGGAGAAGATGAAATGTATCACAGGGAATAGCAGCTAAAACCAGCATCAGACTACTTCCCCAAAACGTTGTCAGATTTCCTGTTAATCATACATATCCACAAAATACTAAACCCCTAGATAAGAGCCAATGAATCTCATTCAAAACCTGCACCTATGATATTGTCGTACTTGTAATGCTCTAAAAAATATTATATATATATATATATATTTTTTTTTTTTTTTTTTTTTTGGCGGTAACACCACTTCTATATTACATTAATTTGGCTTCAATAATGATGGAGAAGATAGTACAAATCTGACGATTTTTTTTTTTTTTTTTTTTTTTTTTTTTTTTTTTTGGCCGTATGACCACTTACTCTTCACTATTAGAAATCAAAGTTTTTAGTGCAAGGTAAGACGATATATGAGATCACCTCTTCCAGTCTGCAATATACTGCTTTGGGATGAACTCAAGCTTCCTGTTTTGATCATCCAAGGCAGCATCAAGAGACTCCTTTGCCATTCCACCACAGCTAACATACCACTGGGGCTTTATCAGGGGTTCTATAACATCATTGCTCCTAGAACAGATGCCAAGGCGCATCTCATTGTTTTTAGCTTCTTTAAATAGGCCCTGAATGAAGGAGAATGATACATCAATGAAACTTCTTTTAACCATGTATACTAAAAGACAAAAGTACAACTACACACAAAGACTTCTGCAACTATGGAGAATATATTTCTATATCCACAATGACCATAATGAATCACTAGGCATGTTGATTGCATTTATGCCTTAGTATAAACAACATAAGCTATACAAAAGGTAAGAACAAACTTGTCAGGCGAAGCTTCAAAAGAAAAATGAAGAAAAAAAGGCTCATTCTAAGATGATGAAGGCGGAAGACCCCATCAAGAAACTGTAACGTAAACTTTGATAAGTGAGAGAACAAGAGTTTTGCGTAGAAATACATGATATAATATACAGGTGTCAATGAAAGTTCTCAGTGATATTGAATTAGCAGCAGCAGCAGCTGCATTCGGAGGTCCCTCACTAAGGAAAAGTAACTGAAAACATGGATTTGTTGAGCCTCGCTTTCAACAGATTAATATACCTTCTTTTTCAATGCTTCAGTAACTGCCTCTCGGGCCTTGAAACGTGGCATCCCAGCAAACTCCGAGCCACCATTGTCATTTATTTTCCCATCATCAGTGAAAATGTTGATAAACTCAAGCTTATGACGCTTTCCAACTTCAAAATCATTAGGATCATGAGCAGGGGTAATCTGCAGATGCAAACAAGGGATCGTCATTTTATTTCTGCAGTCTGAAGAAAAAGACGAGAAAAAAAAAAATCTAAACTTCTACAAGCACGATCAGCTCAAGAAAAGCTTGTACCTTCACAGCACCAGTTCCAAACTCCGGATCAACAAGAATGGCATCACATACGATAGGAATGCGTCTCCCATTGAAAGGATGAATGGCAAATTTTCCATGAAGACAGTGGTACCTTTTATCATCAGGATGCACAGCAATAGCTGTGTCACCGAGCATTGTTTCCACCCTAGTAGTGGCCACAACAATCTCACCTAGCTCTTTTTCTTCCAAAGGATAAGCAAATGAAGTTAAAACACCAAATTCAACAGGTTCCTCATATCCTGGAACTTTCCGCAGAGTCCTTTCTTTGATATCCTCGTACTCCACCTACATAGAAAGCAAATGCCTTAAATGCCTAATAAATTTGAAAAAGGGAGCCACTTAAACGAGTAGTAATACCTCAAGATCAGATACTGCTGTTCGCAAGACACAATCCCAATTTACTAGGCGAATATCCCTGCAAAAGCAAAGAACTGCAATAAGTACAGAAAGGATACTAATCAAGTCAAACAAAAAGAAATATAATAGACAATAGAGAAATCAAAGGTATGAATCATTCACAAAAGGCAACCAAAAAAAAAAATGCACCCATTATAGTCAAATAGCTGAATTGAGTTAATTTTCAAAAATCCACAGATGATCTCCCATGTCAATCATACCTGTAAATAAGGCCTTCCTTGTAAAGCCTAACAAAAGCCTCTGTGACAGCCCTTGATCTTTTCTCATCCATTGTGAAGCACTGCATAGTACAAGGCAAAAATGAAAAATTAGAATACACAAATAGAATCAGAGGGATCTCACCACGGTAAAATCTACCAAAATATTGGGTGATTAACCCATGATACTATCTCCAGACCAAGCTAACCAGGTTAGAGACATCCATCTTACCTCACGCGACCAATCCAAAGAGCCACCTAAACGCCGTAGTTGTTGTAATATGGTTCCACCATACTTATCTTTCCAATTCCAAACCTTCGCATCAAAATAAATGAACCAACAAAACAAATATACATGAGAATAGAAACTTGGAGAATTCTGGGAGATCTTATCATCAAAATCCAAATCAGAGCTAAACTCACTTCAGACACAAATTGTTCCCGACCAATATCGTGCCTTGTCAACTTACGTTCACGCATTATCTTCTTTTCCACAACCACCTATGTAAAAGCACAAAAACATATTAGTTCATTTAAACTGAATTCACAAGGCAAAGAAAATCTAAACCCAATCAGAATCAACAGCATAAACACGAGCATGAGCCATGAAGAAATATTGTTCATGTAAAAGAACGTCACAAATCATGAGTCCATCCACCTTCCATAACACACACACACAGATTGGTTGGTGAACTAATGTTATTAGTAGGAAATTACATGTCAACTTTCAGTAACTTAGAAAGGAAGCTAACCTGTGTTGCTATCCCAGCGTGGTCCATTCCAGGGACCCACAGGGTATTGTACCCAGACATTCTTCGCCATCTAATTATAGTGTCCTACATTTAGTAAACATCACGCCAAATTAACACTCGTTGAATGAGGCTGAAAACAGAAGAACTAAAAGGTTTGCAAAAGGACCTCTACAGCAGCAGTAAGAGCATGGCCTATATGGAGCGCCCCAGTAACATTTGGAGGGGGCAAGACCTGCAAAACGTATGTCATAGTTAACAGCTCTCCTTGTTACCTTAATTAAAATTCACCAGTCCCTCTATTGATTGAAATACATTGTCATGTAAAAAATGCACTCCTTTTGCTTTATCATAGACTCCAACTTCGAGACAACCAAAAAATGCTCAATAAATCTGAATTTTTTAACTTGAACATAAATACTCAAGTCTACAAGGGTGAATGCATTTGAAGTATTTCTCAGACACATCACTATAGTGTAAAATTTTCAAGAAATATCCTGAAAAAGTTGTTAAAACAAGGACGAACAAACAAACAATAGACCAAAACTGCAATCACAAGGTTTGTTTGGTCTTAAAAGTTACAACTTCGCATATTTCATCCTCACATTCCAAATATTAAATTTCAGCCACAACAAGGTGCTATCACGAGTAAAACTGTAATCGCAACCAATTAACCTAATTTATATTAATTTTTCCTTTCTATTATTCCAAATATTAAATTTCAGCCACACAAGAAGGTGCTAACACAAGTAAATCTGTAATCGCAACCAATTAACCTAATTTATGTTAAGTTTTCCTTTCTATTATAATTCGATGGAGAAGTAAACAAGAGAATGTTTTATGATTCAAAAGTACATATAGAAGTTCAACATAATACTCACAATCACAAATGGTAGCTTGGAGCTGCTAGAATCTGCCACAAAAAAGCTTGATTTCTCCCACCACGAGTACCACCTGAACAAGCAAGCATAAATGAATATAGCAAGCACAAATGAAAGTAATGAGAAAAATTACATTATGTGAACCATCATACTTACGACTTCTCTACAGCACTTGGATTATACTGTTTTGCCATTTGACGAGACATCTTTTTCTTCTCACCAAAAGGAGTCTCTGGATCAACAAAATCTTCCGAATTCTCCTCCTCAGTATTACGCTTCACATTCTTTTTTTCGCTCTTCTTCGAAGCATTGGATGCTTGTTGTGCCTAACACAATTTTCGTAAAACATAATATATACACGTAGTCATGTATACATATAAACAGTCCTAACAGTGTCAGCAATATCAATAGGTACATGCAAACTAACAAATTCTTCTAGACATCACAAAAAATGGATTGCATTTATACCTGTAGTTTTGCGGCTTTCTCCAAAGCCTTCTGCTTTTTCAACTCCTTCTCTCTTGCCTGCCATAGAAGAACAAACAGTCACTCCACAAGATTGAAAGGGCATCAGCTAGTTCTGCCAATATGCTTTTTCAGACGAGAGAGAGAGAGAGAGAACCTTTTCCTCCTTTTTCTTCTTCTTCTCTGGATCTTCAATTTCGGGCTTCTCCATTTCTACCTGTAAAATTCAAAAGAGTGTCAGTTTCGGGCTTTTTGTGCAATCAATGGTGGAAGATATCCAACCATTAAAATGTCTCTTTCTATCCAAAAAGCAAATAAGGATAAATCACATATCGTAAAAACAACACAAAAGATTTATCAAACTGCCTGGAAGAAGAAATAAGACATGAGGACAAATTATCTGAGAATGAAAAGCCAAATGCAAAACAGATCTGAAAAATAAAATAATAATAATAATAATTAGGATATAAATAATAAATTAGTGGCATGATTAAGGAAAATAAATAGAAAAATAAACTTATCTTGAAACCAGAGTCAAATTTCCAGCATATGTATTAGAAGGATTGCAATACTCAACCAAGATTGATTTTTTATTTTAGTAAGAGGGCAAAAGGAAGGAAAGCCTTCATTGCCAGCCTCTTTTTAATACATAGCAAAGTAAAACACTTTTATTGAAAAAAGTAAAACAATTTTAGGGAATCAAAAACACTAAAAAACAGTGATAAAGATAAGACTAGTTGTAATAAGAAATAAGAGCGGTTATTGACTTTTGAAATAAAAGTAACTAATGAAATGCAGTTATCCTAATAAGGGGGAAATTTTTGAAAATGTTTCAGAATGAAACGGAGGGAAAGTTTTTAGTAACTATATCCAAAAGTAACTTTCCATATTAGCATAAATCTGCAAACAGGATAATAGTAATAAGATTTAACGTTAAAAAAGATTGAATATATATATTTTTTAAAGAATTATAAAGAAGAGAAAGAGTAACTTATGAGGAAACTTAAGTAATGTAGCCTTTAGATCTAAATCATTAACTTTTCTGTTATTTAATGATAAGAACTAAATACAATCATAAGTTGCATCATAATAACTAGATAATATGAGCAAAACTTTAAGAAAAGAACTACTGAAACACCCATAAGGGAAACTATTTAAACTCTTACATGAAGAGACTAGTGAAACTCAAGAGGAAAGAATATTACGCTGCCTAAAGAAAAATGTGAAGCACGAGAAAAATATCATTTGTAACAAAACAGAGAAAGAGAAAATCTAAGAGTAAAGTATAACTATGATACAAGACAATGACGTAGATTATTACATACAGATAAACAACAACATGTATAACAGAATGTGGGTAAATAGGAAATAAGCAATTAGGTAAAGGAAGCATAAAACCTACACATAATGCAACAAGTGAAGAACCTAACTAAAGAAACACCCAGATAAAAAAGATAAACCCAAAGATATTCCAGGGGAAAAAAATGTCATATAGTGGGAATACATATCATATGGATTACAGAAGAAGCTCCAACCAATCTAGTTACCAAACAAAGAATGAGGAAAATAATCCTAGTCTATACAAATCATTAAAAACCACAGATGTTTGGTTGGAGGATTCAAACCATGATTTGAATCATGGTTCATGATTCGCTACAGTGTTTTCTCTCACAAAAAATACACGTAAATCGAAAATGATTCTAATCACATGATTCTAATCCATGAACCAAACATCTATACATAATTTGGTCAATATCGATAATGCTATTCTAGTACAGACATAAATTAGTCAGGACAACATAAAAGAAATTGTAGAAGTTTACTACTTTCTAAAGTAACAGGATGAGAATTAATATATTGTACTAAAACAATCAAATTATGCAAAATAGTACCATACTCTAATTGAATTACCCAAAGAAAAAAACATAGTTACACAAACAGACTTTTGAATGTCAAAACTAATTCTTAAAATAAAGCAAAATATGAACAAGCGATGAGGGAAAAAAAAAACTTGTAAATCCATGCATGTCGATGTTTTCAATTAAGGTTACATAATAATACACATAAAAGAGACAGAATTTGTTAGATTTCCCAATCCCGAACAAATATATCGAAAGTTTCAATCAAATCAGAGAGAGTGAGAGAGAGAGAGAGAGAGAGACCTTTTCGGAATAGAGGCAAGGAACGCAGGGACCAGAATGAGAGCAATAGAAGGTGGCGTTACTTCCACGCGACGGCTGGTTTTGGGGACGACGACTGAGAGGTCGCTCTGAACAACGTCCGATGGAGTGGGGGATTTAGCGAGGAGCTTAGGCTGGACTCGAGGTTCGGATTTCAGAGAAAAGTCCCGCTTTGTATAGAAAGATAGAAGCCCCGTTCCCTCGCCTTGGAATATGATGAAAGAGGATAGAGCGAGTGGAATATGTAGGCGTAGGGTAGAAGGGAAGCTCCCCAACGCCGGTGGAGCTGAGAAGAAGAAGAAGAAGCAGCGCTGGAGCTGTTTCAAACAGAGCGGCGGTGGAGCTCTCTGGAGAAGGAGATAGCGGCGGGTGAGTGAGAAAATGAGAGAAGGCAATAAGTGAAAACCTAGCTTCACCAGAAAAGAAGAAAATACTCGTAGAAGAAAATACTCGTTTAGTTCTCTGATTCGAGTTTTTAATTTGAGTTGATATGTAATTTTATGTGAATATTTTTTACTGTAATAAAAAAGTTAGATGTGATTATTTCTGAAAACTTTTTACTGTAGCAAAACTCAAATTCTAAACTCGAATCAGCGAAATGAATGGGGCTTAAGGATTCGTTGAGTTCACGAATTCGAGTTTTTAATTCGAGTTAAGATGTAATTTTATATGAGAATTTTTTATTATAGTAAAAAAAATTAGATGTGATATTTTATAAGAGCTTTATTTGTAACAAAATTAAAATTAAAAACTCGAATTAGTGAAACAAACGGGGCATAAATATTAAAAAAATATAGTTAAAAATAGTAATAAACAGATTATAATTGTGTCGTATATTTATGTTACCTAAACGTGGCATGTTTAATAAATGAGTTTTGACGGGTTGACAGGTCAATTTGAAAACGATAAGCTATTTAATCGTATTTTAAGGATTCGACTTGATTTTAACTCAAATTTATTTATGATAAACTCAAATTCATTAACTTCATACAGGTTTCAAATCGTGTCTAGGGGTGGCAATTCGTATTGACGGGTCGTGTTCGTGTCGTGTTGACCCTCTCAGTTGACACGATTAAGCCTAACACGAACACGATCCGTTTATTATTCGTGTCAAAATATAAAACTCAAACACGACCTGTTTATTGGCGAGTTGACATGACACGACACGACTAACCTGTTTATTAAACAAGTCATAAACGTGTCGTGTCAACCCGTTGATTACCTGTCAATCCATTTATAAAATAGGTGATAAATGAGTCGTGTTAACCTATTTCTAAACCTATTTTTAAACCTATTTATAAAATTAGTGATAAATGAGTCGTTTAACTTATTTCTGAACCTGTTTATAAAATGAGTGATAAAACATGTTTCTCAACCTATTTGTACTTAAAGATTTGTTTCTCAACCTATTTGACATGCTAAAGAGATATTAAATAATCTAAGTTTAAAACTAAAACAAAAACATAAAATTTTCTCACAAATTAAAAAACAAACATATTAAATAATTTGCTCCGGCGGGGAGTCACATCATCAGAAGTTAAAAATCATGATGTACAAAGAAGAACAACAAGAAAGAGGACGGGAAGTCTTCTAGCTAAAACAAAAGGAAAATAGACTACAGAAAAAGATTCCACTCCCTAACCAAACATGTCCTCACTTATTGAAATTAGAAGATCTTCGTCCTCAAACAGCCATATAGCAACTCAAAATTTCAAAGGCGCCGCCCAGCTCAGGCCAAAACTCTTGTAGTAGTATCAGCGACAGACAATTAGAGAACAAGATGGTGAAAAAAAAATGTCGAATAGATTCTGAAACGCCCCTACAAAGAGAACACCAACTTGCAGACATGGACAAAAATGGTCTTTCATGCTGCAATAAATCACGAGTATTCAACGTACCAAGAACAAGCAGCCAATTAAACACTTTCGCTTTAACACAAACATGGGCCTTCATACATTTCTATTTTTGCATGAATTAAAGGGGAAAAAAATTAAAACAAATATTGTATCAAAACTTTAAATTTCAATCAAACGTTCCTTCAAATCCATCATTTTCTTTCAATTTGTTACAAGTTGAGAAACATCATAGGAAGTATACAGATTACAAAAATAGTGTAATAAACAAGTTTGCCTCTAAAAAATCTGCCCATTAAGCCTCTTTCCGCTTTGAAGAAAACATTTGAGGACGGTAAGAGAAATAACAAACACAAATTAAAGGGATAAAAAAGGAGTTAACAAACAATGGATTATGGGCTTATGTTATGACATACTCTAGGCACTAGTTTTTGAGACAGATTACGGCCAAATATACATGAACAGCTGAGTCAGACATTGTTGTTGTTGTTATTGTTATTATGTTATGACATACTCTAGGCACCAATTTTTGAGATAGATTCCGGCCAAAATATACATGAACAACTGAGTCAGATATTGTTGTTGTTGTTATTGTTATTGAATCTTTTTTGCTACTGAAGAAATTCTCAATGTCCAAGTACCACATACACACACGACAGAAGAATTGGCAGGTATTGTCACCAACTAATTAACATTAATATGTAATTATGAACTCACCGGCCAAGAACAGATCAGGTAAAAATTAGTCTCCTTCGCTTCACTCCGATGTACCTTTACCGGCTTGAAACCAACGCTTTAAGACTGCACTGCCTTGTCCCACTAGTTCTCCGGCTATCTCTAAACCCCAAGAATTAAAATACAAAGCATACAAAATTACAGATTGATAAGGAACTGAACCGATTTAGGTTATGGACAGGGGAAATACCTGTCGAAGAACAAGACCGAATCTGTTCCCCAAGCAAATAATCTGTTCCCCAAGGCCGATTTTGACGAAGAATGAGAAGAATAGGGACCGAATTTGTTCCCCTGCCTCCCCAAGGTCGAATCTGACGAAGAGAGTGGAGAGTCCAGAGAGAATGGGGCGGAGAGGAAAGAATAAGCAGAAGAAGCGGCGGTGCCGGACTGCTGGTGGGTGAGGGCGAGGGTGGGTGGGTCTGGACTGAGAGAAGCGTGTTGTGTGGGAAAATGTGGATGACGCGTGGGCAAACAACAGTGCGACACGTGGCCTTGCTTTCCCTCAAGAGGCAACAACCCTCGACGGGGGGGATTCCCTTTCCTTCTGCCGCAAGGGAAGCTCAACCTTCGATGCCGACTCCTCATGACGATGACAGTTCGTACCGTCAACCTTACGGCAGGAATCCTTCAAGAAGAAAGCAATTGCCAAGAAAGAAAACTAGGCTGAGCAAATATAGACGGCGAGAGGAATACCCGAAGAGGGGAAAGCTTGACATCGCCAGTTGCGTGCGGAAATGGGAGATGTCTGCAGTACATGCATTACATGCAAACCCTTAAACCGCCCCTATGGGGGACAGAAAAGGGTTACAGCTGCGCACAGAGCCATAATGGGAGACTAATTGGCTGAGTGAACAGTGCGCAAAAGTGATTAGTGGGCTACGGTCTGGGCCTAGAAAGGCAGATCACTTGAGTGCTTTTCAGCCTACAAGAGAAAACCCCCCCGACGAAGGAAGCTCGGCTATAAAAGGAGAGAGACCTCATACGGAAAAGAGGTTGATCTTGCCTGAGAGAAAAGAACGAGAGAGCAATTTGTGGTGTAAATTGTAACAATCTCAAAAGGAATAAAAAACCACAGTGGATGTAGCTCTTTATTTTATAAGAGTGAACCACTATAAATCTTGTGTGTTTTTATACTTTAAGCATTTTTTCTTACATTGCTCACTACACAAAAAATACCACAAGCACTTCACTACCTATATTAAGTATATAGTCAATATTAAGTCGGTAATCTAACGGGATACCTAGTGGTGACCCGGCCCATTTCTGTTGACGAGTTTTTACCGTCAACAAAGCGGTGGTCCTCCAGTGGACTGAGAGCTCAGGCGGTGGAGACTCACGGAGAAGAGAAAAGGAGAGACGAGAGTCGAGAGAGAAGAAAAGTAGAAATGTGAGGCTTGTTTGAGGCGGCGAGAGAATGGAGAGGCAATAAATAGTGTGAAACATTTTTAACCTAGGTAATAAACGGATAATAAACGAGTTGTATAATCGTGTTACCTAAATATAACACGTTTAATAAACAGGTTATGACGAGTTAATTACGAGTTGACGGGTCAACTTAAAAATGATATGTTATTTAATCGTGTTTTCACGAGTTTGACCTGATTTTGACCTGGACCTATTTATGATCAACTTAAACCTGTTAATTTCGTGCGGATTTCGAGTCGTGTCGTCGTATCGCTACCTGGATTACCAGCCCTAATTGTGTCGCTACCGAATTATCAGTCCTAATTTTAACTTTTAAGAGGTTATTTTTCTCTTTTCAATGCGAACTCAAATCTCCTTATTTCTTATCCAATATTTGAATTAATATCTAATTAATTATATAATGTTATGTCATATAATAAATTTAACTTACTTTTTAATTAAATTTTTTGTGTTTATCTAGAGAAATTATGTAGTATAATTTAATTAATTAGACGTTAATTAATACACACTTTTTTTTTTGAGAAAAATGCGCACGTGTTTAAAAGCACATAAATGCTTATTGGCTCCGCTAATCTCATATAAAATCCACAGTGTACCTTAAGGTTTTTTTTTTTTGAATAAAAACCTAATGTGTATTTTTAATAATCTAAAACTATCCCCCACATTTTTCAATTATTCAAAAATAACCCTCAATTTTAGAAGTAAACGAGTATGAATTTCGCGCGTTGCTGTAGTATATAATATTATATCACATAAAAAATTTTATAGCATTGTTGCAGTATATAATGTTGTGTTACGTAAAAGATTTTATATTATTAGAAACATATTAACAAATATATACACATGTAATATTAGAAGCCAAAATATAATTATATGTACATGTAGATATATACATTATAAAACAGTAACGCCTATCAGATCCATCGTGTTGTCTTCTTTAATTGCAAGATAAGAATGTTAAGTAATGAAAAAATAAAAAATAAATGTATACAAATAATAAAAAAATTAAGAAATGAAAAACAAATGTATACAAATAATAAAAAAAATTAACTGAAAATTAAATACGTATTATTTTTAAAAAAAATGAAGTCAAAGAGAAAAGAAAACTCAAATATTTGGAGAAAAAAAAAGAACGAACAGAAAACGAAACAGCATAACCAAGAAAGAAACAATATAATTACATAAGAGAATAGGAACCAAATCAGTAGAGGATGGAAGAGGGAACACAAAAAGTAAGAAACTAATACATATACTAAAACTGTATAAACCGGCCTCATTAATATATAAGAAAACTGAAGATAACATATCCAACAAAATAATAATAATAAATCAGAAATACAAAATGAGGGAAATTTTTTTACATAAAGTAGAAAACAAAATTAGGAATGAAAAATTCTTAAAAAAA